TCTGTATTATCTGGATACACCATGAAAATTATTTTACATACAAGCAAATTATGGCAAAGATACAGAGAAAAGACTGAATGTCACAATATTTTTGATGGCAAAATTTGAGGCATTGTTTTGCAAATGCAATTTATTTATTAATTTGTGGCCAAATTGATATACTTTCCAAATGGCTACAAGATTTGATCAAAATGTACCAAGTTTTATTTTATTTTATACACCAGTTGCAAGCGCTAGAAAGTAGCAGTTGCTACAAAGTGGCAGTTGCGAGTGGCGATTTGTATGTAGTTGCAAGTGAGTGCGAGTGCTCGCTACATCGGCATTGTGTGAAATAAAATTAAGTCCGATGTCCTAGCCACCTGTTTTCAAGTTTCATGTGTCGAAATGTATCGAAATTCTGAATGTCTACGATGCTATTTGTGCAGAGTTAAGATTTATAATTAAGATTCAAACTAATGCAAATTCGATAATTAATATGCAGATCAATTAGAAGTTATTATCCTGTAATGATCTACATAAACAGCAATCATGCAAGTTTCAATGCATTCGTGCAGACAATGAAAAGGCTAAACTTATTATGCGAATTACCTAATTAACATAATTATATTCATTTTATAGTAGCTATGTAACAAGTTTCATTCTAATCCAGATAGTGACTCTTCGATATCAGTGTAACAAGATTTTCAGTTTTTGGAATCCACTCACAATAAAATAAGTTTAAGTATATAAATTTTACAGTACACTTTTCTGTTCTTCCACTGCACTGCACACTTCATGTTTATGAAGACTGATCTACAAATATTTACCTGCTGTACTGTAGATGGAATGACAACACCATTATCTTGTCTCAAGTCTCCTGAATTGGTGGTTTCTATAGTCTGTTGCTGAGTAGATTGGCTGGTCTCGGGTATACATGTAGATGGTGGAGCCTCTTGAACAGCTGAAGTTGATTGCTTATGTCGAAGTGGTAGTGGCTGTAGTGGAGGGGGCGAGGAATCACCTCGATACGTTAACTGTGTTGATAGACCTACCTGCCTAGGTTGGTCTTCTGATTTGACCTGTACTTGCATTGTAGTTGGATCAGATGTTGCTCCAGAAGTTCCAAAATTGAGCTGAGAAAAGATGCAAGGAAAACAAAAATGCAAGATTTAAGAAGAACCTAAGTTTATATTCACAAAAAACTACTTTTACTAGCACTAGTGCAGTAAAACTTTACTGCATAGACTAATTGCACTGGCACGAGTGTGAAATTTTTACCAAAATGTTTATATCCTAGACTGCATGCAAACTTAGTTGACTGAACCACATATAATCACAAGAGAGCATACGAGACTCGACCAGTGGGTGGTGACTCAAATGGAGAATATACGATCAATATCAACATGAAATATGCCACAACTCACTCCCACTGCCACAATATAACTGTACTACCGGTATATATTCACCCATCCTTCTGCATGGCACAGTACGCTTTGCAACACTGGCATATAAGCTATATTCCGCTCACTGCAAGATCTCGCATGGACAAGCTTTACATCCTTAGCAACCAGTTTCAATCACGTGACACAGGTCAAGCTCTCCCCTAGAGACGGCGGTAGCGCCATTATTCACTCTGCCGTATTCTGTTCACACAACAATATCGACTGTACAAAAATGCTCTTACGCTGAATGCAAGAGCGATTACACAAATGATGGATTTTTTACACGTTTCCCGAAACCAAAAACACAACCTAGGAAATGTGCCTGTTCTCGTGCCAATGACTTTGAAAAAACACTTGATCACGCAAGACACTTACAGTACTCAACCATGTTAATGTCCAGTGTCCTCACTCAGAAAATCATAATTATTTAGGAGTGGGTGCATAACCGAGCACCCCCTCGGAAAAGAGTGCACATGACAATTTTAATTGACTATGCGACAGATTGGGGGGGGGGGGGATTAAGTCTTTGAGGGAAATACAATTACAAAATTAATTGCGTTGTCATTTAATGAAGAAACAGAAATGGTCACAAAAAAGTATGCATATCTTACTACAATATGAATTACGTACCACTCGAATTTACGAGGTTAAAAATATTAGAATCTGTTGGAACACAGTCAAAGTCAAATAGATTTCAGCGAATAAACGACATGATTTTTTCAACAAGCAGCCTCTCGGCCAAGATAGCTCCGCTGTTAGCAATGCACATTTCGATTAAAGAACAGAAGATATCATTAGAAAATGAACAATATGCATAGTATCAGTGCAATGGGACTTGCTGTTTTCAACAAGAATTCAAAAATATCATTTTTGACCATAAATGATTGTGGTTTCTAACAAGAAGTTGAAAATATCACTTTTTACCAAAAATGACAAAAATATTCACCAAAATTAGAAAATTAAAGATATCATTATGAAATGAACAAATTTGAGAGTGGTCCACATGTAGTACCTATATATGTAATATCAAAGCAATTGGATTTGTCGTTTTTAACAAGAAGTCGAAA